GGTATATTTGAATAAAAATATTATATTTGAAAAAATATATATGTATATAAAAATAAGAAAAATATAAGGATATCGATATTTTTTTGATTCTAGCGCTGAAATTGTCAGTTAAGGGAGAAGCTAATGTTAGCTGGGAGAGAAAAAGGTCGACCAAGGATTCCCAAGGACGCAATCACACCCAGATTGATCATTTCCGAGCAAGCGAACAATATTTTAACTTGACTTATTACCTATTAGGAAATACAGCAGGTAATACTCATAAGATTAATCTATTAGAATTAAGTAGAACCACTGAAGGGTTATAATAAACTTATAAAAGAATATTATAACAAAATAATAAAATGATTGCTCAATCAGTGGAACTGATTTCATAAGTTTTACCGAACCGACTTAATAAGTTTTTCAAAATATTCTAAATTTCAGGCAATGGAGAAGTACGGGTGCCAGCGGGATTTCATAGATACTCATTTAATTTCTCATTACCTTATAATATACCATGCAGTTTCGAACATACAAACGGTCACATCAGATATACGATGAAGGCTGTTATTGACCGACCCTGGAGATTTGATCATGAGAGTAAAATTGCGTTTACCGTAGTCTCATCTTACGATTTGAACGCTCATAGTCATCAATGTGTAAGTAACATCGCTACACAAAGATTTTTTTGCCTCTATTTTACACAAAAGTAATATCGAACTCGAAAATAAAGATACTGCGCGATGATGTTACTAAAATCGAACAATCTGTTTTTCATTAGATCGGCGCAGATGATGAAGTGAGTGAAAGTTTTTGTTGTTTCTGCTGTTTCAACTTGGGTTCGATGAAGTTACGTATCAGAATACCGACAACAGGGTTCGTTCCGGGACAATCGATAGAAACTATGGTCAACCTTAATAACACCAGCAGTGTCAATGTAACAAAGATCTGTGTTAAATTGGAACGAGTAGGTATAACACTACCGTAGTTACTACGTAACTAGCGTATCAAATTAATTTCAATCAATATAGTAACTGTAACCCTTTTTCTATTTATAAAGTCTTTGGAATTTCATGCAAGATCACCGTATAGTATGACTAAGACAGATAAAGCGATTTTAAAAGCCGAGCAAAGAATGGGACCATTCGGCGAACAAGCTGACATTCCATCACGATTACAGATTCCGCCAATACCGCCATCCCATCTGGAATACTGCAGTATAATAGATCAGAAATATTCCTTGCGCATTACTATCCATGTTTCTGGAACGTATGTGTATATTTTTTCAAAGTATAAAATCAAAAGCAATTTAACTTGTATGATTGTACATATGTTATAATCAATAGTTTACTTTTTTAACCAATTCTTAAAATTTTTAGGAATTATTCTGTAATTGTTTACAACAAATGTCCCGCAATTTACGAAAATAGAAAATCGCAATTAAATTATACTGATTGATTTTGTTAAGAAATCAATTCAATTTCCGCTATATTGCAGGCATTGCAGCATTACCAAAGTTTACCCAATTTTGATCGGAACAATTCCATTACACTCTACTATTTCATCTGCATCTTATATACAAACCATACAACAGCCCACAGCTCCTAATGTAATGCAATACGATTATGATCCACCGCCGCCGATGCCGACGTCTCCAGACTACGTACCACCAAATACGCCTTATCCTCAAGCGATAGGTTTTGCCTCACCAAATCAACCTAGTACGTCGACTAACCCATGGGACATACGTGAGTGATATTTTTCTTTGTAAACAATTTTAAAAATTTAATATTAAATCTTGAATATCAGCCTTCATACTGTATAATTGAATATTATTTTCATTTTATTACTTTATTCAATTAGAAGTACAGAAAGTCAAGGCCAGAGAAAAAATATTTTTTCGTGACAATATTTTTGTTATAGAATATTAAGAAATAAAAATATAATTTTTTAAGATTTATTATAGAAATTTGATCTATATGTAAGAACTCTTTAACATGTTGTACTAGTAACCCACGCTGGACTTTTCATTCAAACTGTTTATTTTGGCTATAAAAACATAATTATAAAATAATTGTTGATATATAATTGTAGATACATATTATGATATCAAATGATGCAATATTGGTACCTGCTTTATAATCATTTTTATAATTTTTGTAACTATAAAATATTTAATAAATATGACAAACGCAAACAAAAATACTGTGATGGTAAAGTTACTTAAAATTGGTCTAGCATAGACATGTTAAGAGATATTTTTAAAAAACTATTATCTTTATCTAGCACCGCCATCGTATGAAGAATGTATGCAAAGAGCGGATAGCATCAAAGATGAAGATGAATCAAATTACGTACATGGTGCCAACGAGCCTTTCGCACCAAGATATCCGGTCTTCAATTTCACAACATCACGTAAGAATGAAGTAACATTTATTACTGAATCTATCATTTTTAACACTGCATTTTCAACATTTTTTTCCATAGATCCACCTAAAAAATAATCGAAAATAAAATACTGGAAAATAAGCTGAGACAAGGTGAATACACCACAACAACATTAATTATTTCTACTCGACGCGTTTGTAATAACAAAAAAGTCAGGAAATCAAAAACACATCTTCTGATTGCTACTACCTCATATAGTACATAATATCTTGTATAAATATATTACTCAACTTTTTTAAGTGTAACTTAACTTGTCACGTATACATATTTTTATACTCTATATCACACTGCTTATATGACTACAAATATATTGTGCAGTATGTATATTTCATGCAAAAAAAATTATGTATAATGTACAATAAAGAATATAATTTTGCGATATATACTTCGTATATTTATTTATGTGATAGCAATTAACACGCTAAAATATTTTAAAAAAAATTAGGAATAAAATTTACAAAAAGGAGTATGCAAGAAGGAGAAATAAAGATAATTATGCCAAAAAAATGGCATATTTACACAATTTATTTTATATCTCAACATCATATCATAATCATTATCGAGTCATATAATAGCAAAAGTAATGTTAATAAGAATTTCGAATTTCGGTTAGAATAGCAGGGATAACAAAATGGAGAAAGGACAGAAGGAAGAAAGAGAGGGAGAGAGGAAAGAGAGATTCATCCCGGTAACTTGTGCAAGCGAATCGATTTGAAGAATTTGGAATTGTGAAATGTGAAAAGTGCAATATATGGAAGTCGGAGATGGAACAAGAAACATAAGAGAAAAGGCTATACGATATAATCGTGAATTTAGTGCGCGAACGTTCACTTGTATATGAGATTTGCTATTCTACAATAACTGTATTCCAAATTTACAGCATAGCAAATGTACATGGTATTATTATTCACATTTAGCCACCAAATGCCCGGCAAACAATATTATTGTAGGAACTGAACCCATCCATTTCGACGCTTTCAACACTGTCTTAAATATTGACAAAGGAATACAAGTATCCTTTTTCGATTTTAATAATTTTTGATGTATTAAAATGTATACAAAAGATCTTTAATTGAAGATCGAAACGAGACATCTGTTTTACTGATTCAGTGGGATTTACATGATTTATGATGTCGATACATACTAAAATAAACGATTTTAGAGAGAGAATTTCTTTAAAAAGATAAAATTCTTTTTTGAAAAAAATCGATTTTTTTTTCTCAATGAATATATATATTATCATTTAAATCGTCGAAAATATAAAAAAGTGTTTTAAATAAAAGAAGTTGAATAATTTCAAGAGTAATTCATAATAATACAAAATTTTTTTCTAATTTTGTATTTATTTAAAAAAAAATGTTTATAAAGTTATTATGACTATAAAGTACTCTTAAAACTATTCAATTTTTTATTCAAAACATTTTTTATATTTTTGATTCAGACGACATTTACTCAGAAAAAGATCAATTTTTTCGAAGGAAAAAATTCTTCTGTCCTTTAACATGTAAGAAAATACATTAAAAAAATACATATTTTTAAATCTTACTTTTTTGTCTATATTTTAACATACATAAAGTTATTAAAATCGAATAGAGACAATTCGTTGTATTCCCTCATGAAACTGAAAGAATATTGAATATCTATTATATTGTTATCGGATAATTAAAAAAGAAAGATGATGAAGTCTTCCAATGCTTGAAAAAGTTCAAATAATTGAATCCTTATTCCGAGAAGATGACAAACATAATTATTCTTACATCGCAAATTTCACTTTAATGCCGCTTGCACGAGAATGGTCCCGTTAATTATCAGAACTTGTTATCGTCAGACATCGCCAAAATTTATATGGAAGCCATATACTTTGATACAAAGTCAAGTTCCATTCGACTTTATCGCATGGAATAGTTCAAAGCAAGTTCTTATGAACGATATTCGTAACGTCTTACGAGTTCTTTTTGGATGGACCATTCTTACAATCGTAAATTCGATTAGAGCGGTCTCTTGGGTAATTCACAGAAACATCCGAAGCAAAATCGACAGGAAATGATGCGTTATGATTCGTAACATTCTGCGGTGTATGACGTATATGACTGACATTTCGATACGTGAATGTATACGATTATAAATCGGCATTCAGTGTCCATAAAACTTCACTCGTGCTAATTCGGTATATAATTCACGTGAAGGTTGGAGTAAATTCATATTAGGCACAAGGACAATTAACTCGCAAGGAAAACTCACGAAACGCTGGAGAATTTTTTTCTCAATATATAATTAAAAGAGACAGAAAAGTCAGAAAATATGAGCGTAGACTTACACGAATTAGCGATAAACGCAATTGACGAAAACTTATACAGCATTGTCATAAATTTAAAAGTAATGAAACAGTGAAATCCGAATAATATTAAAATACTTGATTACAGACAAAAAAAAACACGATATCCTCTATAACAAATTGATTTTTATGTCCATAATGATTCAATAATGTTTCCTGATTGCCTTTCTAGACTTTTCCGAGCGTCCTGGTTGTTCGGGAGGGAAAAGGAACTGTGCGCTCCGACTTTACAAAAATTTACTTCACTTATATTACAATAACCTTCCCTCAATTTAAGACATTCAACCCTTAATATATTATTATCATAAATAAATTTGGTCTATATCGGTAATATTGTGAATACGCCGGTACAAACACTGGCAGTATTTGGTTAAGTAAAAATCATGATCACTAGAAGAGGTAACTTGTACGGAGATTAATTATGATATTACAATTCCTTTCATATTTTGTAACTCTTTTTTTTTACATTTCACGCGAACGCAAAAGAACAGTATAATTTCAATATCTCAAAACTGACAAAAGAGAATGATTTAAACGCGCATGTTACTACTTCCAGTAAACCTGATTTGATATTCTTTAAATGATTTGCCGGGGGTTTCGCAAATCTATTCACGATAGAAGCAAAATTTCTCTATATATGGATGCCAATGAAATACTTTCATTTGTCATTATTTAATTAGTATTTATACACAATTTAGTGATCATATTATGATATGGTCACATATAGTGAACATATTATGTTAATGCCCTATGAGATCAATCTCCATAATCATCTTTATAATAATTTGCAAAAACGAAAAACACCAGAAATAATATAGATTTAAAAAAATTAGGCTCCAATATTTTCAACATGTTGCAGATGAATTGAGTAATAGCTAACGCGCGACAAAAATAACAGAAATAATTATGGTAATATAACGCTACTTCGTGAATAGATCTACCAAATAGAATCGATAGGGGAGTGCTATGAGTCAGGTAGATCGGCTTGAAAAACAGGTATTGTAACAGGTGTTGTCAACATTTCCAATTTGATCCACCAAGATTGCCCCGGTCAGTATGCATTGTAAACTATCACGATCCATTGATTCGCGATGATTCATTTTTAAAAAAATAATCAATGTGTTGTTATTATTGCCAATATGGCGTAATGGGTTCAAGACAAACATCAACATTTTTTTCTCTACTTGCATGTATGTGTACATACTATCAATACAACCAGTTAACATTAACTGAGAATAAGAAAAAGGCATTATTTTACATCATCACCGCGTGTTGATCCAAGTCATGAACCATAGGACACCGAGTTGTGCACACGCAGTGTTTAAATTTTTTTTACATATGTCTCTATATATTTATAATGTATGTTGTGTTGTGTGTTTATGTTGTGTGGTACGTGTTTTACTCAATCACTTTACATTATTACAGTTTTTTTCAGTCCACACACTTTTCAAATACCTGCAAATCAAAATTCATATTTTTGCCCCATTTACATTACATTTTCAAGCATAGTTACAAACAATACCTCACAACATGCACAAAAAATGATATTGTGGCATTGTATTTATAGAATTTTAGCTCATTATTTACGTCCAATGCGTATGATAACATATACACAATTTAATAAGCGCGCGACTGCAATCAAATTCGTATATATATTATTCATCCCAAGAATATAAATAGATTTGTACAATCAATAACCGAACAATGAACTCTCGTGCGACATATAAACTCCGAAATCAATATTACTTAAAAAAATATTATAGCATCTATATATTAAATGAGATTTCTTTTTTCTCTTATCAAATATATAAATATCTTAGTAAGAAATTAAATTAACGAATACATACATAATTATGAAGAAAATTTTGCAATAAAATAATATTTAGAAATTTGAACATAGGAAATTTATATAAACATTTGTATCATTCCTAAAACTAAATAAATAAAATTTTAAAGCATACCATATTTTACGTGTGTATTTTTAACCTTCTCTCTTAATGGCACCGGGAGCTTCAGCTAGTCCTTTAACTTTAAGCCGGTCTGCTGTTTTGAGAAATGCTGGTAGCTGATCTTGCGAGACATTTACTTCACCTGCATACATGAATTCTAGGATGGCTTGTAGATGACTGTACGCAACGTCCTTTAGAATTATAATTGGATGTTTGGACGGATTTTCCTAAATATAAAGAGAAAATTTATTTAGTTGCAAAGTCTATCAATCACTAATAATATTAGCTAATAGATAATAGTAATGTTAGAATGATAGTAAAATAATAGTACAATAATATTGCCAATGTACCTCTAATAAAGATTTGAAGTAAGGACTACAGGCGGACAGGACCATTTTATGTGCTTTACAAGTCTGACCATCGCAAGCCAATGTCACATCCGTGAAGCTTTTCTCATCTCGCAGATGTTTGAACGATGACACCATGTTTGATTGGAAGTCATTCCATTTGAGAAAAAACTGTTGCTGCTCTCCTGCCATTGTGAATGCTGAAATTTCCCTATAACTCTTGCGTGATTGTGCAGTCTGCAAACAATATTACAACGAAATCATTGTCAATTTGACATTATTGTCAATTTGACAAACAAATCAGTCCTAGAATTCTGTAACTTCTATAACAATGTCGATATTATTACATTATCATCATGTAGACATATATAGTAAAAAAAAGTTATGCAACAATATAACAATACAGATACAGTTAAAAGTTACAAAATCCTAGTGCAGAACTGCCTAAATGCATTCATACATCATGCATTCATGTGAGATAGGACTTAAACAAAGTAAAATAATAAGAACAAAATAAGATCTTCTTTTCAGCTGAACTTCTTGCATGATTCTTACATTTTTTTTCTTCTTTTTTCCAAGTTGGAGAAAAAAAATTAAAAAAATTAAAAAATGCAAACAGTTCAGCTGAAAAGAACAGATCTAAATCTTATATCAGATACCTGTTACTTTTCTTGAAATAAAATTAAAATTACAAGAGTGCAAATTTATTAGAATATTTATTTAGAACCTCATAGTTCATTGGTTAACATCAAGTGAATTCATTTACTATTATAAAACTTTCAGTTTTTACCTCGTTTCAAGAACAAGATATAAATAAGCCTCCAGACTAGAGATTGAAATTGAGATTGAGGACAGTATTTATAATTCGTTCTTATTTCAAGATTCTTAAGTAATTCTTAAGTAATATTCTTAAGTAATGTCTACTACTAATATAGCCTTCCTGATTTATTACTGTACTTAAAGTACTTAAGCAAAATTTATTGAGCTTGATATTTCTTTGTTTTTTTTTCTTCTTTAGTCATCTCAATCTCAATCTCTATGATACAGGCTTTAAGAATAAAGAGAGATCACACGTCCTGATATCATAAGCTATATCGGAGGTAAATAAAAAAAATGTACAACGACATACGCGAGAGAGGACCTGTATCAACTACGTCACGACGAATGTTAAGTTTTGATGAGAGAACGAAATTCGAAAAAATATGTTCGCGAGCCCTCATGCGAAGATTCTTTGTAGGTTAAATTAAAGGATGTCACAGAGCGAGCGATTGATGAAGATCGCAATGAGACGCGGTGACGCGGAGTCGACCAAATCACTCATGCGAAGCTGAATATATCGTCTCACGATCACCAAATTAGCATGCACGGGTGATGGATATATCGGGATATCAAAATTCGCGTTGATCCGTTCTCGTCATAACATTGCAACGCGTGCATGCGTCCGTCGAGCCGTCTGCCGTCAAGAGGCGCACACGAGTTCGACACAACACGATCCGCAAACACGGCCAGGCGGGATCGAACGCGCGATACCGAGTTCCACACGGCGTGCACGCGATTCCTTACTTCGCGTCGTCGACGGGCCGCCAAATCCTGGACGAGGCGACGACGTGGCTGACGAGCACCTTGCCGTTGCTTGCCGTAGGTAGAACGCGAAAAATACGTAACGCCAAAAACTTTTTGTGCGATCCACCACAAATTTTTTGTTGTGGCTAATATCACGGCGAGGAAATTCGGCTCAAGTCGAGTCTTTCCGCCGATGATCGGTCCCGTCCGCGTATGCAGTACCGACTGAAGTCGCTCGCAAGTGAGCTGCCAGATGGCGCCACTCATCCGGTCGCATTCCGCTTATTAATACGAAAATCAATTTTAAACGGTCGGTAAACATTTCGTACTGATTTCTTCAATTTCTTGTGCTTCCGCATATTATAATTATAAATGTAGGGATACACCGAATATCCGATCGGATATCATTGTAATATTTACCGACTCCATTATTCGGCTAAAATTATTTTATATTTGCAGAACTTGTACAGTTTATCTTATATCTTTAGCTTTTCACGTTGAAGAGATAAAGAAAATTATTATCGTTATTTTTCCCTCTTCTTTCCTTTTTTTTTTTTTTTTTTTAGAATGTTAAGGAATTTATACCGAATGTCCAAGAAGATATCCGAAATCTGATCGAATTAATGACTCCTGCAGACAGAACGCAACGACGAAAATTGGCGCGAGAACCAATCATTTTATCGTTTTTTTATAAAAAAGTGATTGGCTACTGTGCTAACTTCTGCTGCACGACAAGCGACAAGCGTTATACCGCATTCTGTCTGTGAGAGCCATGATTGTCCTACCGGATATCGGATATCCGGTGTCACATTCTTTTCGAAGAAGATTTTTATCGAAGGATTTTTATTCCGTTCAGTAAATTTGGAGATTTTTATCGATCTGCATTCTGTCGACAATTTGGTCACTCCAGCATCCTCTTAACTCTAGATACATACGATGGTTTTCCGGTCCTTTATGATGTGTCACTCGACATTCCACAATTGAATTAATAAGAGATGTCACGGTAAACTCAATTTGTTCCATCTTATGTATAACTATTTCTCTTCGCGCCAAAATAGCGAGGCGGATTATTCTGTTAACTTCTGAAGATTCAGAGATTGAAAAAGCCTAGAGTATTTAAATGATTTTATTCGATATTTCCGAACGCAATTGTTATGCTAGTTTTGTACGACCCGGAGAATAGTTGGAAAGATTTCTATTCGGAGTAGAAGTTGCGAATGTACTCGTGAAGATTCTAAACGAAACTTAGTACATAAAAATTCGAGGATTGTTTCCGAAAAACGAAAATTGACGATTTATGCTAAATCTACATTTGTTCTCTTTGATCTTACAAATTTGCGGAAATTATTAAAATGTTAAATTAATAAATTGTAATGATTTAAAGTAAAATCAGTAAAATAAATTATGATTTCGTCTATAGAAAGTTATAATTTATGGACAGCATATATACATATATAACACAAAGTAATAGATATATATAAATATATATAATTGTTTTTTTTTCTAAAATATTATTAATAATACCAACAATTTATCGGAAATAAAATAATTTAGTACTACCTTGTGTTATAAAAGAAGTTTTATTTACAAAAGAAAATTATTTTCATTTAGAAGAGAAAAAAATTAGTCAAAATAAAAGAAGAACAAAAAAGAGAGGGATGGATAAAAAAATAACGCGTACTATTTATAAATCTCCAATTCCTGTTTCGTAACCCGTTATTATGTAATACACATGCTGACACACACTATACTTATCAACATGAATTAGAACATGTAAAGCGTTTAATTAGTGATCCGCGAAGGGATGTTAATTAACGCGATCTAATCTTAGTATCGATCGGACGCAAAAATCGTCGCGTCTAATTTTTTTTCTGTGCTTTGTTAGTGATAAGAATATATCGATATAAGAGCGAGTCGTTGCAGAAACTCATCGTTCAATCTGATCGATTAATGTACGTCAGCGTGCGTTGGCTTATAGATCAACGCACGCGTAACTATGCTGTATGATGATAAAAAAATGCGCGTAGATAAACAATCCAAACATGACGTAATGATGACAAAACATAATGATTCGTCTATTTATGAGGACGGAAGAACTGTTTGTCTGGTTCGACCACGATACATCTCGCATGAAAAAATCCACCGGTTGTTCCCGTTATTCTTGTAAAAATTATCCTCCAGAGATTACAAGCAATCTGGCCATAGATCTAGTGATCTATGGTCCGATGACACCGGAAGAGGATGAACATTTCAAAAATCTGTAAAGTTCCGAAGAATTTTAGAAAAAAAGCGAGGATAAAGCATTTTTAAGTTATGACGAAATGATAAGCCGCAATCAACGTTGAGACATAAGTAGGGAAATAACATTCTAAAATAATAAAAACAGCTCCAGAAAATAGAAAAATCAAATTCACATCGTTCCTGACGTAATTTAATGTTAAACATCAATGCTTCATCATAAATCTTGATTAAAATTTTATGAATATCTTTATATATATATAT